ATATGCTGACTCTGTAAACCGCTTAGAGACGGCTGAAAGCCCTATGAAGCGGTATATAAGTCTAACTGCTATTGCTAAATCAAGAAGAGAGACCTGACAATCAGCAGGAACGCTCAATTATGATCGAGATTGATTGACAAAGCTACGGAGGACCGAACTGGCTAACTGGGGGATTCTGGGAGTTGGAGTCCCCCCCCCCCGATCTTAAAAAGTTTCCAAAAGTTAAGAAACTCTCCAGAGCGGATCTTCCACAGATGCAAAAACTGCTTATTCAGCCGTTCTTGTGGATCCCAAGACTTTCTCCACGTCCGAGGTTGTGTTGATTTATAGACCCAATCACACCCACAGCGACCCGCAACTGGAAAACGGCATTTCCTAAAATTTGCACAGAAAACTGGAGAAAAGAAGCGAAGGAGGGGAAAGGCATTGAGACGACCGAAAAATGCCTCAAACCGTGAAGGTTCTTGAAGTTAATTTTAGAATTGCCTCTAATTAAATCGGAATTTTAAAAAAGAGCCTGATGCAAAGGTAGAAGTGTCAGAAGGCAGAAAAAAAATCTCCCTCCCCCCCCCTATTTTTACATCCCCAAATATGCTATTTTTTTTAAAAGCGGGGGGGGGGAATGAGGACAGCCCCGGCTTTCCCTCAACCAGCTTCAAATCACAGCACTGGGATGGCTGTCCATAAATGTAGACCGACAGTTATATTGATTCCTTCAGTTGCAGAGAATTTGAGATGAAATATATCTCCCTGCCGGCCCTGGGGATGGGGGATGGGGGGGAATGATTTCACAGAGACCAAATCCAATTGCAGATCCAGAGGTGGAGGGAATCGTGTTTAAGAATCTCTCTGTATAACAATGGCTCTGTGGATGTGTGTTCCCAGATAACTCTGGGATGCCTCAAACAATTTCAACAAACCATTTCTCTCTCTCTCTCTCTCCCTCCACGTATCCTTCCATCCACCCATGTGTGTCTGTCTGTCTGCCTGCCTGCCTGCCTGCCTGCCTGCCTACCTCCTACCTACCTACCTACCTACCTACCTACCNGTTCTCATGTCTCCCCTGGTCCTTCTTTTCATTAAACTAGACATTCCCAGTTCCTGCAACCGTTCTTCATATGTTTTAGCCTCCTAATCCTCTTTCTTGCTCTTCTCTGCACTCTTTCAACATATTTTTTACATCGTGGTGACCAAAACTGGTTGCAAATATTCCAAGTGTGGCTTATATAATACTTTGAGCCGCTCTTGCAGGTGATGGCTATTCCTTCCATGTATTGGTTTGTATGTTTTGGATATAGTTTTGTCACCCAGCTTTTGCTACAGCCACAAATAAAAGCTGATATTTTTTGCAAGCCTCATCTCCAGTTTCACTCTCTTTGGCATCTCAGTGGCTCAAGAAAAACTGCTGGAACTTTACAATCTTATAATTTCATATATATATATATTCTAGTCTTAAAAGAGCATTCAATATTTTCTAATTTTACTATTTAAAAAAAATTAAAATCAAAACATTTTTTGGATACTTCCATTCATCCTGACGCAGATTCACAGAGTTGGAAGGGACCTTGTTGGGTCATCTAGTCCAACCCCAAACCCTCTCCCACTCAAGCAGGGTGGCTTCGCTGCGCTGAACTCACCCCCCCCCCAAAAAAAAAGAAAGAAAGAAAGAAAAAACGTCAGATGAAAGAATCAAGGTTTCTTTTCAGAGTCTCTTTCTTTCGCCTGGCTCCTTTCGCCAGGGCGCGCACAGCTGCTTGTGTTCTTTTTACATGCACGTGTTTTCATGAGAATACGGTACTGGATCCCAATTCAATGCAGTTGGGAAGGCAGCCAGGCTGCCAGGCTGCCAAGGGTGGAGGAAAGAGGGGGAAAAAAAACTATTTTGCTTGTTGGAAAGGACAAAGGACACTCGGGACGCGAGAGAGAGCTTTGGTAAGTTCTCCTTGCTTTGCGCTGCGGGTTTCAGATTTTGAACTGGCTAAAAGTGGGCTCCTTGTTCCGAGGCAGGAAAAGTAGAGAATTCTCACGGGTGCAAGGCTGAAGGAAGCCCTTTGCGCTGATCTGTCAACTTTGGGGGACATATATTTTCTTTTGCATCCATTAAGAGAGGTTGGGGTTGAGGTCTTGTCTTGAAGCCTAGCTGGACTTCAACGGTTAAGGAAGGGGCGTGTGGGGATCCCCATGTTCTCATGCCTTGGAGTGAAATGGAAGAGAAGGTTTGTTAATTGGGGGGTAAACTTGGGGTGGGGTCGCCCGTGGTGCTCTCTGAGCTTGCGGGGGGGGGGCTGTCTTCTTGCAGACATTTCGTGACCCAAATAGGTAACGTCATCCGTGGTAGAAGGAGGGGGGGGGTTGCGGAGGGGAAGGGAAGGAGGACGGTGGGGTCCTTGATGTTCTATGAGTTTGGTGGTTTTCTTGCAGGCGTTTCATTGACCCAGCTTGGGAACGTCATCAGTGTTAGAAGGGAGTGGGGTTTGTAGGGAGGAGGAGGAGGGGGAGGAGGGGGAGGAAGCAAAGAAGAGCAGGAGGAGGAGGAGGAAGAGGAGGAGGAGGACAGGGGGCTCCTTGTTAGTATCAGAGCTTGGCTATCTTCTTGCAGAACTTTCATGACCCAGCAAGGTTATATTATCAGTGGTTAGAGGGAAGTGGGTTGGAGGAGGACTGTGGGATCTTTGGTGGTCTCTGAATTTGGTGGTTTTCTTGCAGACATTTCATGACCCAGCTTGGGAACGTCAACAGTGTTAGAAGGGAGTGGGGTTTGCAGGAAGGAGGAGGGGGGAGAAAGAGGAAGGGGAGGAGGAAGAGGAAGGGGAGGAGGAAGAGGGGGGAGGAGGAGGAGGAGGACAACAACAACAGGGGGCTCCTTGGTGCTATCAGAGCTTGGCTTTCTTCTTGCAGACGTTTCCCAACCCAGCCAGGTTACATCATCAGTGCCAGGAGGCAGTGGGATTTGTTAGAAATTCTTCCAAATCAGCTGAGCTCCAGGTTAAACGTTTGTGTCCGATTGCAAATAGTTCCTGGGCACCAAAGAAGGATGTGTGCAATGAATCCTAAAATAGTTTTATCTCTCTCTCTTTTTTTTTTTAAACAATCAGGGCCCGGTGCCACATTGCGCCCACTTAAAAAGCCCCAATCTGACTTTTAAGGCGTCCCAATGTGGCAGCTGTCCCTGGTTTTTAATTCTTTTTAAATTCTTGTACGGGGAACTTTAAAGAGGAGTAATTAAAAAAAAGGGAAACTTCTAGCCTTGAGCAATTGCAACATCAAGGACTTCTAAAATGTCACAACCTGATAAACAAGCTTTTTCATTTTATATACCCCAAAAAATGCTTCGTTTCCACCCATGAGAAATCTTTAAAGGGGAGAATATTTAAACTCCTCAAAAATAGAACTTCGTATTTTGAAGGTCTCCCTAACCACTGCTTTGCACTGCCAATGCACTTTTTAAATAGCTTTTTAAAAAATTTTCCAGTAATAAACATTCATAAACAACATTAACAACAGTAATACAAACAGTATGTGAAATTCCTATCTTCCAACTTCCAACAGTATTTGTCTCCTTTCATATTCCTTTGACATTTCCCCGTGAATTCGTTTAAACATAAATAAAATTTCTTTGCAGCCTGTATTTGTTATCCCTTATTGGAGTATTGTCCTCCAATATTATGAAAATCACTCATTATTCCACCATACGGCGTCAATATTCCAAATATGTGGAATTAATAATAACACCAATTATTAACAATAGTCAATCCATCACGGGAGTACAATATATTTTAACACACTATTAATATTCATAACCCAGTTACATTACCTAATCTTAGATTACTATCTACTAATCTGCCCTTTTTCTGGAATTATGGTATTTTCCCGTTTTTCTTTTTAACTTTTTAATCCTTTTCTTCTTCTCTCAAGGCGAATCCGTTCCTCTCCATTTCTATTTTTTTGCAATCTTATTATTATTTGCTTTATGGAGCGATAAAACAGGTTCCATAGATCCGCTGGCATTTTATTGATGGCATAAAAATATCTCTTTAAAAGGAGCTCATGAGCCACAATATATTCCTTTATGGCCTTTGTGCTTTGGTGCTCTTTGAAACTTGAGCAATACTTGGGAATGCCCACGCATAAATGAAGTGTATGGTTTCATCCGTCTGTCGCAATTTCTCGTCCAGCCTATTCAACATTTGGTTTAAAACCCAGCCTGAAAATTCTCTGCACGGACAAGTTGGCTGGATCTTAATAAAGCAGGTAAGGAAATCTTTCCTTGCAGAAAAAAATGGAAGGATCGACATATAATATTTTGAATAGAATAGAATAGAATAGAATAGAATAACAGAGTTGGAAGGGACCTTGGGGGTCTTCTAGTCCAACTCTCTGCTTAAGCAGGAAACCCTACACCAATTCAGACAAATGGCCATCCAACATCTTCTTTAAAACTTCCAGTGTTGGAGCATTCACAACTTCTGGAGGCAACTTGTATTCCACTGGCTAATTGTTCTGACTGTTAGGAAATTTTTCCTTAGTTCTAAGTTGCTTCTCTCCTTGATTAGTTTCCACCCATTGCTTCTACCCTCAGGTGCCTTGGAGAATAGCTTGACTCCCTCTTCTTTGGGGCAACCCCTGAGATATTGGAAGACTGTTATCACTTCTCCCTGGTCCTTCTTTTCATTAAATTACAATACAATACAATACAAT